AAACGATTTATTTCCCGTAAAATTCCAGAACTTTAATTTTGATTCATTCTATTGTGAATCAAAATTATTTAAACCGTCACGAAAAAATACTTTTTGAATATTTATTACATACATAAGGTGAAATGTTATTTTTTGGTGTGACGGTTTGAATCAAAATTATTCAAACCGTCACATAAAAATACTTGTTGAATATTTATTACAAACATAAGGTGAAATGTTATATTTTATTACATTTTAACGAACAAAAATATGGTGGTATTTGAGACTAATAATTACATAAATTTTTTCTACACTCGATCAAAAAGGAAAAAAAAGACATTTTCAGTGTATTCTACGTCTTGAAAAAAGTGCGTAAATATGGAAGTAGAACCGTAACAAATGGGAAATTTAATACCATGATATCAATGTTAGAAACATTAACTACAAGCATACCCATAAAAATTAATAAATATTGGAAAGTTGTGTAGTATATCGAATCAAGGGAGAAATCAGAATGTCTGAACTTGTATAAAATGATTCGTTGTTTGTAAACATTCAAAATTTCAAAGTTTAGCTGTGCAAAGTTTAGCTTTCGAAGTAAAAACAGATATGCTTAGTTGGTGACTGTGTCATCATAAGGGAACAATCTTGATGTGAGAAATGCGCAAACAGGAACCTCATTGGTGAAATTTATTTACATGCTAAAAACTTGCCAATCAAGTTCGAGTAAAATTTAAGCTTTTTTTTCATTACTGACAGCAGTCAGTACCGGGTGTGTGACCATTTTGTTAGACGCATTCTTTCGGGATACGATTTTCTCGCATGCTAGGGAGAGTTTGACTGAGAACTTCAGTTTTCAACTTGAGAGAAACTTGAGTTTTCAACGGATCATTTTCAAGCAGGTTCTCATTTTCGTCAGTAGGGTCCTCATTCGCTCTATTTTTTCTTTCTTTATGGATTGTGTTTTCTGCACCATGATGCACTGCAAGTTCCTTATACCGTCTATACTTCCGGGTTACTGTTTCCGGTGCAATTTGGCTCACACTTTGATCATTGTAATTTGAGACTCTCCTGACTAGTATATCTTGTACACGTATATTTTTTACCTGGCATTTTATTTGGGTTAAAAAAAGAATCTCCATAAGAAGTGTTATTTGAAGACCTGCCATTTCAAGACGAAAGAATCGTCACACTACTTACCTTGTCAACAATATACCAACTTCAAAAGTTAAACCTAAATGAAAATTTGTAAAATAAACCTAATCTTGTTGCTCGAACAATATGATAAATCTAATGTATAATGGTGCACGGCTTACAATATGAATAAACAGTAATGGTAAAAGGGGACAAATCGGGACTGCCAAAAAAGCGAGCTCTTTCTAACCCTTTCATCCATGTCACCTTTTTTTAACGATACATATATAAATAACTGAAACAAATTTTCTTTTCAAATTCACCAGAATTACTTAATTGTTTATTTCTTTTGCTGTTGTTGTTACTTTACGTCACACTAGAGCTGCACAATGGGCNGCATGCTCAAACAGACAACAGACTTGATACTTTTCTGGGTGAATACTCGGAATCGAGTCGGAATGAGACACCCCTCTAACCCCCGTTAACGACGGGCCTGAGCGTAGCGGTTTGTAATTAACGATTATAATAGAAAGCTCTTGAGAAATTAGGTACTTAAATATTTTTTCTTACTTTTAAGGGTTTTGGTAACAATTTATAAATTTTTTCGTATGGAACTGGAGAGCCGCAGCTTTACATCAAAAGAGCCACCTGTGGCTCGCGAGCCACAGGTTGCCGACCCCTGTCCTAGTAGAATAGGCTGTAGTAAGTAGTTGTATACTTTCTAGTCGGAAGTTGAACTTTTAAAGAGCTCAAGATTGTTGTTTACATTTATATTGAAAACACCCTCCACTAAGGATTTTTTAAAATTAAACAAAACGATCTAGTTTGAAAGCCTAAACTTGTGGACAAGTACATTCTGAGAAACGAACATTTTCAAATAATAAATATTAATCAACGACCTCTTGCTCTGCAACATGTACAAGAACTACTTGCTACAAGTACAAATCGTTATAAGGACTAATATTGGGACCACCTCTATATCTATGACCTGATAGGACAACTGCTGTTCCCAAAACCTATGAAATGACATAGATTGGACGGTAGCTTTTTAAAACAGACGATTATTAAATTAATCATTTATTTGCAAAAGGAAAAAAATAAATCATAATAATCGTCCTTGTCGTAGCAACAAAAAAAAAACTAATTTTTTAATCATTTCAATATTTAAATGATAAAAAAAAGGTTATTTTTTATATATGTTGGTGAAAATAGCCTCCTTTTCTTCAAATTAGTCGTTCAAGTTACTTTTCTGAAGTTATAAGTCTGAATACAATAAAACTTCTAATCGTTTCTGACCACTTCAGGAAAAATGTGCTATTAAAATCAAATGAATCATCACTCAGGAAAACTGGTCTACTAACATAGAAAGACCTCAAATTTTCACCAGGCAAATGAACTTGTTTCGAGGTTTTAACTATCTCCTTTCTCGCAAGTGATTCAAGACAATTTTTGTTTTTCTCTTGATTGAATATTTATATGACCCATACAGCTCTGGCAACTAGCATTTTAAAAATCTATATATTAAAGGCGCTATTACTGAAAAACCTACAAAGTTAAATATATTTAGGGCTGTAAAATGACAATTTAAGATGAAAATAAGTTTCTGGGAAACATATTTTCTTTCAGTTACATTATGAAGATTAGCAATATAAAAACTACTTTTTGGCAAATATACACTTGTTAACACAGGTTCATATTAGCTTCTTTTTCTTAATGCATCTTTCAGTATTAAATCATAACTATTAAAAAAGATAACTTCTTGGCAATATAAATGTGGTATCTTTTTAAGGTTTTAGACAAAAGTCAACTTACAAAGGATTATGGCAATGTTAAATTTTATCAAACTCATTCTCTCAGCAAAATTTGTAATTAACATACAAGATAGAAAAGTCAAAGGTTTCTTTTGATTTTATTAAACAGTGTTCAATTATACAGGACAACTCAAGAGAGGGATTACAAAAATACTCCTTTTGAAGAAATTTAATTTAAAATCTTTGTATTCAGGCCAAGAAAGAAATTTACCCATGGTACTCTATTGAAAATTTTTGAGCATAGACATATTTAAAAGTACAGTTTTTCCAATAAAGTCATTTTTAAAGATAAAATAATTTAGAAAATGCTTTATCAAAATTTATTTATTTTTAGAAAACCAACCTATACTCCTGATTATAATACTTTTTAGCTTTCATTGGTACTCGGAAATTAGAATGTAAAATGGAATCACTATCTTATGTTTCTAAGTAATGAGTAGTCTTAGAGAAAACTATTTTAAGCTATAATCGTGTGATAGATACAAAATGGAAAAATGATGTTCCTAGGTAAAGGATAACTTAACTGCGATGCCCGAATAGGCATTATATATTTCCTAGCTTTTAAAATATCTATTCCTTATTAATCGAATTCTATTTAAATTAAATCTATGAGTTAATCTTTATAAAAGTGAAAATAAAATATTTTATGTTCGCTCTTAAAGATTATTTAATTTAAATATAATAACCCACTTTTGGTGGCCGACTTCCTCCGGGTCATGAATTTCATGGACATTGTTTAGCCCTGCTAGTTTTGGGAATTAAGAAGAATTTAAATATAATTTGATTAATAATGAATAAAAAATAAGTTTAAGTAATTAAAGATAATTTTAAAAGCTAAGAAATATGTGATGCCTATTGTGGCATCACATTATCCATTACATTGATCTTAGGCCTTTTAAAATGAAAGAGGGAATTTTTCATTTCGCTAAATACATTCAGCGTAAAAAAGTGAATAAAGCACACATGAAATACAGAAATGGACATACTAGTTTCAGATGTCTAGACAAAAACCTTTGCCTTTAAAAAGTAAAATAAATCTTCCTCAGTGTCTAAACAATATAAAAATACAACTTTTGACTTTCAGTTTGCTATTGAATGCTTGAGGCTTCTGAAAGATGTTGTAGCACAGATGACTTTGTTATTAGCATCAGCCTCTATTCCTTCACTGCTGTCAAGGGCAGAACCATGATAGGAAAATTTTTCTAGATCTTTAGCCAATCAAATCGAATAAGTCTTCACCAGACAATTTGCATAAACCAAACATAAAATACTTAATGTAAAATGCAGCTGATACAAATTGTTTTTGATCATTTGTTCCAACTGCACTTTTATGAAATTCTGCCTTACTTCATTTTTCATCATAACATTTATTATGTGCAACTGAAATTACATAAATGGTATCTTGGCCCTGAAACTTTTACAGTAAATCAAATAAAAATTTAATGAGTGACGGTGATCAGTAGTTCCAGATGTCTCCATTATTATATTATCAAGTAAAGATCATTTGCTTTACACAATTTATTTAAATAGCTCAGAGCTATCCAATTTTCATGCTTCTAACAATAGATTTTTACACTGGTAACAATAATTATGCATTAAATTTTAATCATTAAAATTTTTTGATTTAAAGTGATTTTGATCACACAAAAGAATAGGCAAATAAGACTTAATTTCTTTAATATAATGCCTTTTTAAGAACTTGAAAATGTCAAAAACAGTCATGTACTGTTTAGTTATTTCACTACCTTAAATGTCAGGGTTGACAGTCTGTTTGCTGATTTAACCCACTGACGGTTCCGCACATAAGAATTCGTATTTTAACCAGCAATATCCTGTGCATAGCAAAACCGGTTTTCCCATGTTATTAGATAGGAAAATGGTGTATTGGGGAGAAACATTTTCCCAATTTCGGCAAACCCTCAGTGGGTTAAATTGTACAACATAGTACGCTATGAATAATGTAAAAATAAATATTTGGATTTATATAAATAAAAGATTCAGTTAGAAAGTAAAAATTTTTGAGAAAAATCATACGTCTACAATTATAATTAAATAAAAATATGAACATGCACACAATTTTCAGTTAAAAGATTTATTGGGTTTCATCTTTCCACCCTATACAAAACTCAATATCAACAATATCCCTTACAGTAAAAAACACGAGTAATTGCAAAGATGATTTATTTCAACTTAACACTGTACTACATACAATTTAAAACAAGAAAAATATATCTCCATCACAAAATAATAAAATATGATAGATAAAATGCCGCAAACTACACAAAATACAAATCACTATGACTGATCAGACCAATGTGATAACATGCATACATGTTTAACGATCATGGTCATAGTAAAAAATAGACAAGTATTTAAACGTTCCATCAGAATTTAGAACAAAATATATAACACATAATTTAAATCCAGAAAATAAATAATAAAATGCTATCCCTTCCCTAGAAGTAAAATAGCAACGCACATGAGATGAGCGATAAATAGTTTTTTATGCATTCCTTCGCTTGAAACAAATCACCTTCACAATGGTTTTCAATTTTTCAAAACTAAATAGCATTAACTTAACAGGAATATCTGCATTTTGCAGCGGATCCTTGTTTTGATTGTGTATCAGCGTGAGCCTGAAAATTAAAAAAGAAAAATAAATAAAAATTTCAATTATTTTTTTTATCTGTGATCATACATTACACCAAGAAAAATATTTTGAAAGGAAATTGATCTTTGATACATTTTTATCTCAGCACAGAGCCTGTCAGTTTTTATAATCACTGGATAGTGGGAGCAGTTGTTTATTGTCAAAAAATTTCCCAGAATGAAATCCTTTACATACGATAAATTTAAAATTTCTTTAATTATAAACTTTAATGCTAGATAACAGAACCAAAACTACTTGGCTATTTATTGAAATTTGCTAGCACTAAGATAAAGCCCTTTAGCATGAGGGCAAGAAATGTTTAAAAAAAAAAATATACATATATATATATACTGGGTTCTCTTTCCTAATCACTTTAAGGATTAATAATTTTTTATTACTCTTAGAGATATAGAATATCTCCTACCAATGAAAGTGTTTAATGTGTTTAGTACTCTGATAAACAGTGGAAAATTTTCTTTCCAGCAATAAAGAACAATGAATGGAATAAACTTTAATTTGTGCATCTCTAACTTTATTAACATTAAAATTAAGTTACATAAATTTATTTAAATAAATTCTTTTATGCATTTATACAGTGCAACCTCGAAAATCCGGACTGCTGGGGGGTTTGGAAGGTCCGGATTTCCGAAATTTCCGGATTTTAGATACCTTACTTGAATTGATAGAATTATCGAAGTTTCGAATTCGCCAGGCTGATTTCGCAATTAATCACGCATGTGTAGACCTCCGGCGTCAATTTTAACATAAATATACTCTTTAAATAATAAATAAAAGACATTAAAAATCAAACTTTCGTCATTTCCCCCCGCAATCGATCGTTTAGATAACATAATATTAGCAATTAAAACTAAAAATATAGACTTGAAACGCGAGCTGAATTTGAACTTATAACCGAAACAGATGCTTCTAGACTAGACTGCACCAGCTGATACTAATCCTATTTTTGTTAGGGGATGAAAGAACTTGTCCTCGCCTCCTAAGCTTCAAGGTTAAGAAAGAACGAGTTTTCTTTCATCACAAGGGGGAAAAACAAGGAGATGGAAGAATTCCTCCTTCTGAGGGGATTCCCCTTCAGGAGGAGGGGGATTCCTCTTTATATTCCTTGTTATCTATACAGAGCTGATAAGAATGATTGGAATTTCCTTATCAGCTATGAGCTTTCATTAATTCACCACCTCTACCTCTTCATCTACTGCTTCATTGTTGCAAAAGAGTTGTGGGATTCCCCTTCAGGAGGAGGGGATTTCCCTTCATATTCTTTGTTATCCATACAGAGCTGATGAGAATGACTGGAATTTCCTTATCAGCTATGAGCTTTCATTCACACCCCACCTCTACCTCTTCATCTACTGCTTCATTGTTGGAGAAGAGTTGTGGTTTTTCATTAAAATTTTTATTTTAAGCGATTTTTTTAAAATTTTTTTCTTTTTAAAATTTTTTCTGAAAAACTGGACGTATGAGTCCGGATTTTAGAGATTTCCAGATTTCAGAAGTCCGGATTTTCGAGGTCGTACTGTACTTGTGATGCAGTATAAAACTGAGAAAATACTACCTTATTTCTAATGAAAAGTAAATTTTTGGAGATGGTATCAGTAGTTTATTGGGATCAAAGTCTCCAGGACCCAATGCAAACATATTAAATGGCAGAGTAAATTTTTATTTCTTGAATTGAATTTTTTAAAGTTTTCACAATACATAAGAAACATAAAAGTTACAATATACGAATATACAATAAAAGATAAAATTCTATTTTCATATAAATTCACAATAGAAAACAATCTAAAGAAAAAATCATGATTAGAATCAATATATTAGATTACAACCGATTAGAATCAATATATTAGAAAATAACTTACTTCATAACCTAAAGTGTTCCTTGGAGGAAGGTTTAATCTTTCTTTCACAGAGCGGCTACAAATAAATAAACATTATGAGAAGAAGCTAAGCTAAAGTAAATATATTTTTAGAATACCATTTGTTTTAATACCAGATTTCTTCAACATTTATTTTTTAACAGCCCACATAATTCAACATCCCCCTCCCATCATTTTACAAAATACCACAATAGCAGAATTTACAGAAAGAATCTATAGCATTTTCTTCACAAATTAAAATTTGTTTACAATCTCAATGAAGTCAGTCAGAAATTACTATTGCAAAAATTCAGCGTAATCTAACATATTTGCAGTTAGATTTTGCAAATATAAGGTCTTCAAAAATCATACATAAAAGCTTGTTAAAATTTTGAATTTTATCAAATGTTATTATAAAAAAAAAGGAAATAAATCACTATACAGATAAGTCTTTAACCAGGTAACAGAAAAAGTTTTTGTTCTTAGCAGTGCTTTCTCAAATCTGCTTTAAATTTTTATTAGAAACAAGTTTAGAGACGTTTTGGAAAAGGGTTTAATTCCATTTCCCTCTATTTGCATATATACTTTTAAAAAATAAAGCTTAGATGAAAAGTAATCTGCAGCATCCATTGCCTTGTTAAAATGTTTTCATTACCAGGATAAACACTATATCACAATATAAATAAAATTATTGCTTTATTAGGAAAACTGAAGCATTAAAAAATATTGTGCCGGTAAGGAAAATTTTAAATGGTTTTCATATTAAAATATAGCATAGCAAATTTCTAAAGGAACCCATAATTTATAAAATATAACATTTAATTAACAAGTTTTAATACAATGTTTTTTTTTTTCTTTTTTTTGCTATGAGAGAGAGAGTTTAACATATTTATGGCCAACATACACTGTTAGAATTTTTCCAGTAGAAAATAATGCAAGAAATTTTATGCAAACTACGATTTAATTTAAGTTATAACATAAAATAAAGGCCGAATTGTACTATTATGAAATTTTAAGAGTCTATTACTTTACTAGGTGTCAGCTTTCAAACTTCTGATTTGTAAGGAAAGGACCAATTCAAAATTTTATTAAAAAATATATAAATAATTGTTAACGTTCAATACAAAAATATTATTAATAAAAGTATTAGTATTGTTTTCATGTTTATCATGAGCAACAGTAGACTGCAATATTTTCCAATGACGATTGACATTAAATGAACTTGAAATGTTATGTATCGTGTTTACTCATAATCATGAATAGTAATAAACATTTAATTCATCAAAGATAGTTAAGTTTTTTTAAAATTAACTTAAAAAGGGAGTTCTACATTAACTGAACATTTTAGAACAAAAAGGTTTTATATTGATTTTTATAAAAGAGGATCGTTTTATGATGTATTAGTAATACTTATTTAAATATTCAAAACATTATTTAAAGATTCTATTTTACTAGGAATTTTTTTCAGAAAACTTACTCAATTATGAGGAACTTTCTAAAATGTACAAAAATCAGGAGAATTTTCATTTAACTAATTTTTTATTAAAAGCATTAAAATCTTATAAATATTCATACCCGATTTTCATTATAGCATCCGCATGCCTAACATCTGCTGTCCAGATACCAATTTTATCACCTTTATTTCTAATCTGTACAACTGATCCACAAACATCTTCACTGCATTCGTCAAATGCTTCACCAATCATTAGTAAGAGCTAAAAAATTATAGAGAAATAATGAAAACAAACACTGATATTGCATAAAATAAGACAGTGCACAGTTTTTATTGTTCATAAGGATGTAATAAACATTAACTACACAAAAATAAGGATAATGAAGTGTGATCGTGTTAAATTTCAATGAGATACATCTAACATGAATTATAATTAAGCTTTTGATTTTTAATATCTCTTTTTTTATTATTATCTACGCAAGATCGGTGACTCTCCAGTCAAAGAAACAACAATGTAAGAAATAATATCAAGAAAAATCAAAGTAAGTACCACAGGGTAAGTTAATAAAAAGGCTTTAAAATTATGGAGTTATTGATGTTTCCAGAGAGAGAGGTCACAAGCCACCCTGGTATAACGATTGCTGCTTTGACCTGGTTGTGACATTTCACCCTTTCCACAATGAGTGCCAACAATGTGCATTGAAAACAGATAAAAATTTATAACACATATAAAAAAATAAATAAATAAAAATCATTAAGTTTAATAATAGAAATTCAAAGCTGAAAGATTATTTTGCTGATGGTTTTTATTTATAATTGTAATTATTTTTAAAAATAAAAATGATATTGGTTACTTCAAGCCTCAAATAACTGTAACAAATATAGCAAAAGTAAATAAAAAAAAAATAATATTAAAAAAAAAGAAAAGAAAAGTATACTAACTATTTCCAACCAATAATTATTTAAGTCTGTACTTCTTTGAGACTTCATAACATTTATAAGCCACCGTCCTCCTTGTTTATTTCTACTGTCTTCCCACATAGGTTTAATACCATACTGAAAAGAAACAAAATAAAAATCACTTAAAATGATTTATCAAGGAAACTACTGAATTGAAATTTAAAATAGTCAAGCTTGGCTATTATAATGAAATTTTATTTGAATAATGACTTGCTGCTGCTTTAGTATACTTTGTAACAAATACCTAAGAGGTCAATAATCTCCTATTTAATATTAACTAGACAATTTTTATCATCACTTCTTGAAGCATCATTCACAGAAGGAAAGAACAAACAATTCTACCTCAGGTAGTTAAAAATGATAATCAATCTGAAAATGGTGTTTCAAGAAGTGTTAAAAAAACAAAGTTCTCCTATGAATAAAAAAGGGCACAATGCGGTTTTGAAAAGTCACTCACTGCCTTTAAAATTTAATCAAAATACAGTACGACCTCGAAAATCCGGAAATCTCTAAAATCCGGACTCATACGTCCAGTTCCTCAGAAAAAATTTTCAAAAGAAAAAATCGCTTAGAATAAAAATTTTAATGCAAAACCACAACTCTTCTCCAACAATGAAGCAGTAGATGAAGAGGTAGAGGTGGGGTGTGAATGAAAGCTCATAGCTGATAAGGAAATTCCAGTCATTCTTATCAGTTCTGTATAGATAACAAAGAATATAAAAGGGAATCCCCCTCCTCCTGAAGGGAAATCCCCTCAGGTCTTGTGATGAAAGAAAACTGGTTCTTTCTTAACCTTGAAGCGTAGGAGGCGGGGACAAGTTCTTTCATCCCCCAACAAAAAAAGGATTAGTATCAGCTGGTACAGTCTAGTCTAGAAGCATCTGTTTCGGTTATAAGTTGAAAATTCAGCTCGCGTTTTAAGCCTATATTTTTAGTTTTAATTGCTAATATTATGGTATCTAAACGATCGATTGCGGAGGGAAAATGACGAAAGTTTGATTTTTAATGTCTTTTATTTATTATTTAAAGAGTATATTTATGTTAAAATTGACGTCGGAGGTCTACACACGCGCGATTAATCGCGAAATCGGCCTGGCGAATTCGAAACTTTGATAATTCTATCAATTCAAGTAAGGTATCTAAAATCCGGAAATTTCGGAAATCCGGACCTTCCAAACCCCCCAGCAGTCCGGATTTTCGAGGTTACACTGTATGTAATATCATGTAATGACTAAATTTGATCCTCAATTTTTGAATTACCCTCTTTTTTAAGTGTATACTTCACAAACTAATTCTTCTTTATTATCAAAATAATAGATAAACATTAAGGTTTGGAAAAATAATTAAAGGCAAGCTAACAGACAATCTCTGTGTATAAATTTTCTTTAAAAAAAAGAAAAAAAAAGAATTGCTGTACTATTAACATTAAAGTTTTTGTATATTTTATACTGAAAATTATGAGAAAATAAACATTTAAAAGGTGCATTTTAAAATAATTAATATTTATTTTAAAAAAAAATAATGGTAAAATTCAGGGCTGATTATGTTCCGGAAAAAATCCGGATTTCTGGAATTTTTGCTATCAGTGATCCGGAAGTTTCCGGAGATCGAAGGTCCAGAAGTTTCAAAAAAATCATTGATCACAGAAGTTTCCGGAAATCAAATTTTCAATGGTGGAACTTAAAAACACAGTTTATTTTATTTGTTTGTAAGGGAGAGCCAGAAAGATACTTTATAAGCTTATATTCATGATTAATATTAATTTTGTATCAGTAAATAGTTGTTATAATCACAAACTCTAGAAAGAAAGACATATTTGTAAATTTTAATTACTTCTCCAGGTCATCATAGGTATATGTAAATGGTATAGGTATGTGTAAAATTTTAAATATATTTTGAGTAAACTAAGAAATAAATATTGAAAAAAAGGAAAAAAAAAACTTGTTCAAATGTTTTTCTAATTTTTCAATTTAAACTGTTTCTGTTTTTTTTTTTAACTCAAGAAATTTTCTGGAATTTTGACTTGGGCCCACAATCACCCCTGAAAATTTAAAATCACTAAAAAGATCATTAATTCCCCCCTCCCTCAAATAAAAGCTGTGAATTTCTCTGGGGACAAATATCAGGCCAATTTTAACTACATAACCATACAACATAAGAAAAATTTCACTAAAATGAAGGAATCAGATTAAAAATTAAAGATAAATAGATATCAATAACTAAATAAATCAGAAGCTGACATGTCATATAACTAGTGGATAAAAAATCATCCTTTTTCTGAAAAAATAAAAGCACAAAGGCAGTATTTTTTTTTATGGGATCGCAGCTTATTTTTTACAAAAAGGGTACGGAGGACTCAAGTATAGGGATCAAAGGGCAAGCGGGGCGGACCACCTATCTAAAAGCGTTTAGGGAGAACACCGAATAAATATTTGTGTGTTTCACATCAGTTTTGTATTTTTCAATAAATTAAATTACTAATTTCCACCAAAACTTTCAGGAAAAGAAAAGTAGTCTGGAAGAGTGATAAAAGTTAAACATTTACCATGCAATCTTACTATCAATATTGATACGCGACATTCTTAATGAATCAATACCCAAATTGAATGCTATAAATTAAACTTTAAAAAAAAAAAATCTAAATGAATTATTGTAAAACAGTATAGAATTGCCAGAATTCATATCTGAATTTGTCAGTTTTCAAAAGTGAGAACGTAATTTGTCCGCAAATCCATTTCTTTTATCTTTCTTAATAATTATACTTTGTAAAATAACAAGAGAAGTTCTTAAATTTAAAAATAATAAATGCAATGCAATATGAGGAGGAACAAAACTGCTGGTTAGTACACAAACACAGGGTCAAGAGAAAGTGACAATATAAAAGCTATGAAATTGAAAATCTCTAAGAAATATTGTATTTCATAGAGAAAAAAGCTTACTCAAACTAGGCAATTTGGACTTCTGCTTTTTAACACTAGTCTCTCAAAAGAAGAATTTAACAATTAACTTTGCAATAATATACGTGTTAGTACAAGACCAGACATTCTTATTACTTCCTTGGTATTCATAAAAATTAAAAAAAAAAATAAAAAATTGTATTAGCAGGAAAATTTGGGACAGAAAAATTAATTTTACAACTATGAAGATAATTTTGAAGTTATTGTGAATAATTGAAATAGACAAGCCTCCCAACATGTGTTTGCTAAAGAAAAAGAGTACCATTAAAAGTTTAAAAAGAGGGCTATTTATAATTATATTAAGGAATCATAATAAAAATTAACATGAAAATACTTTTATGTTAATAAATATTTTGGAAAGAAACTAAATATCGAAAACTTACTTTAAAAAGTGCATAATCACATCCTAAAGGAATTTTACTAACAACTTCTATGTGATTATATAGGCTGAAAAAATAAAATTCATTAACTATATGAGTAAATTTAAAGAATTATGTCTAAAAATTTTTCTTAAAAGAATCACTGCGTGCAGAACAGACTGCATACCCACTAACTCATATTAGAAAAAAATCTAATAAAAACATTTTCTGGTTTCATTTCAACATTTTCTGTATCAGTGAAAAAATATTTTGTGTCTATTGTTAAACACAACACAATGGACTTGATTTTTTTTATTCAGATTTTTTGTATTGAAGAGAAAATACTTTTCTTTAGAGGTTTCTTGAAAAGCTAGCCAGTGGAATTGAAGTACTTTCTGCCAACAGAGATTCAAATATTTGTAAGAAAAAACAACAAATAATCAAGCACTAAGATATAAATACTTTATAAACAACAAATGAACTAATTGGTTCATTAAAATTGGTGTAGGATTGAAACAACTTTCAATTAGAACACATTTTGAAAAATTAAACAAGATGCTCCTATTAAATGAATTATATTTAACTAAAAAATAATGAAAAACATTTTTTTTACTTTCTTGCTATGGTTTAAAAACATTTTGCACACACTAGATTATTTAAAATGAGAATAAACATATTTTGTCTAAAAAATAGTGAGAGACTGGAATTTTTGCTTTAATTTTAAAGCAAAAAATCCTATATGCATCATATGTATAAAAATCTTCTTGGGGACTATTATCTCTGCAAATAGATTTTGTACCACGTTCAAGAGCTGTGTGGGCTTTATGCTTGAGGTAAAAATAGAAATAATTATCTAAATATATAAGTAAAAAATTTTTCTGCAACTAGGGCAGGGATTGAACTTTCAACCCCTAGGTCAGTAGCTAAGTATATAGCAAGCTTAAATTTTAAGCAAGAAAATTCTATTTAAAGAAAGCAGAAGAAATTTTATTTTAAGCAGAAAATTCTATTATCTATTTATTTCTACTAAATTTCACAAAATTTGGCATTTTGTGAAAAAGCATGCACTTGGTAATATAAATCTAAGAGTTTCTGAACAAATAAAAAAGTTATATAGAAAAGTCTTCAACTATAATTAAACAAGCTAAGCAATGATGTGAAACATTTATAAACTGTTTTAGAAAAATGGTTTGTGATTTATTTAAATGGTTTTGACTAGACCAAAATGATTAACCAACAATATATTTTTTTTAAAGATGCAATGTTGCTACAACGGCAGCATTACAACTAAAATGATTGAAACAATAAAATATAACAAAAGATAAAAACATCCCACTTTTTACATTACAGTAACATGATATAGAAAATAGTAACAAATTATATTGGTTAATAGATTTACATTATTCTAAAAACTAGCTTTAAAAATTCTTACGCCCAAAAATCTTCTACAGTGTCAAATGTAGTTATTTCCATTAAATTCTCTTCCCAGGATTTAGTTCTATCATTTTTATAGAACCATAAGCTCCATTTGTTTTGAAGAGGATGTTTTATAATCATATCAGGAGATATTTCCTCTGCTGCAGTGGGATTCTAAAAAAAGAATTTCGTTTTTAAGGACCGGGAGACATAAAACAAACAAAACATAATTTATAACAGGTTGTTGTACAGTTTTAAGTATAAGTGTAAATAATCTATTTTATTTTTGTAAAGGTTAAAAATACAAAAGTAAGAAATTAAATGGATAAGGCTGTATTAAATTTTACTAAGTTATATGAATCATATCAAAATAATAAATTAATATGCAAAATTTTGTTAAAATTTGGCGATAGTAATGCCAATTGTTAAACATCACTATTCATGGAAGACATTCTAAAAAAAGATAAATTTTGAGCTTGGAGGTAAAAACATCACCTGAAGATAAACCAAAATTTAAAAATATGTAACTCATTGTTAACCTTTCAATTCAAATAGTAACAAAATTTCAGAAACAGGCTTTCAAAATTACGAGTTGAACTATAAAAAAAAATTAAAACTTTAAAATATAAATTGAAGAAAGGTAATAGTTCCCCCTTATATTTAGCGATTTGAAAATAAACCAGAAACCAATTACATAAACACACTTGCCAACACTGTAATCTAAATGACCTTACAATACTGAGCTAGTGATTTACTCGACAAAGTGTTATGCAGAATGTGTTATTAAAGGGCATTTTTACACAAAATTAAGAACTATCTGCTACTAAATGTATAAAACCTTAAAAAATATACAAGTGAATTATGTATAGATTATTTAATTTTTCTTTTTTATTTAGTAAACAATAACAAAAAACCCTTTTTTCAATCTTGACCAACTATTTTATTATACAATTGTTTAATAAATAGTTATACTTATTCGCAACTTAAAAATTCAATTACTAGGGTAATAAAAAAAGGAAAAAATTTGTTAGACTAAAAATGGTTAGACTTAATTAAAAGCAATTATCGCTTGAAATGTTCGTATGTAGCAGATTTAGCTGCTTTTAAGAAATCTTTATCGAAGGCCTGCTCATAAAAACATCCAGTTTGAGCGGTTTTGACAATTAGAATGTCCTCTAGTGATTTATGTGACAAAGAATTTCTAAAAATTATTATTTTATTTTAAACAATGCTGAATACCCTTTCTGATTCAGTATTGCCATGTGGTATGCTTAAAATAGTTATCATGATTTTTTTGTTATCCCAATATACTTTTTGAAACATCCATCATTTTATAAAATGTCGCTTTTACTGCCATGTGCTATTTTAAAATTTAGTCCTCAAACATTTCCAAATGCATAATGCTGTGATTTACAAGACTTAATTATGAAAGGAAAACTTATGGAATAAGATTCCAAAACTATCTGATTGTAAACTTTAGGAGCAGTGTTAAAAATTTGAAAACAAAATCACGCCCCAAATTGTAAACACAAATAACGTCGTTTATCGATAGATATTGTCAGCCTTTGTGATCGCATATATCAAAAGTCATACTGTGTCATCTTGTCAAGGTGCATCAGCTCTCATTTGCTTCTAATACCAGCCTGATTACATGCCTAGGACCAGTTTTTTTTAATGAAAAGTTTCATAATCGTTATTTAAAATTTTGTAAATCTTTGAGTTTGTGATTTCAATAAGCATGTCGTTAATTTTATTTATTTTTCTGCTAAAAAAAACTTAACTTTTAATAAATATGCGACCATATGATCTTAATGCTTTACTGTGCGATCAGGTAAAATATTGTACACTGAACGGGCGAAACCATACAAGTTGGCAGGTAGGCATAATGGTAAAGAAAGATTTCCATTATAATGGTCTGTGGCAGAATAATCGCCAAGACTTAGCAAATCCCGTGTCGCAACCCATGAGAAACTGAAAAAAAAAAACATAGAAAGGGACCAACTCGAAAGGTATAACTTGTAGCCACCCCCGGGAAACAACTACAAGTTTGTTTTTTTTTAAATTTGCAAGTTTTAAAATCTATTTGGCTCCTAGACATTTGTAGTTAGCAGGACAGATAACGATAAGGATATATCCCAGAAAAACCAGAGGGTTACGCCCTCAAAATAACTAGAAACTACGATTCAGAAAAACTGACTGATATTATCGCCAAGCCAAGGAGTTTCTGATTCTACATCTTAACCTGAAGAAAATGTTATAAACACATTTAGTATTTTCATTTCACATTATAAGATATTACAGTTTGCTTTTAACTATTATTTCTTATTGAACTATCAAGTAATATAAAAGAAATGAGAATTAGAAAATGGTGATTGCATTAGCAGGATTTCTATTAATCTGAGAATAATCTAACCTATAACTAAATCTCAATTAATGTATAGTTTGTAGTTTACTGCATAACACCTTATAAATTAATAACATAAATTATCAACCATGTAAGTGGTATAGATATTTTTTCAAACTAATGACAAGAATGTATTGTACAAATATTTTGGATTTTAAAGATCATGCATGAGTCATACATTCTATTGTCATTGTGTTACACAGATGAACCAATTTAAATGCATAAAACTTACATCAACATAATAGGGAATAATTTTGCGTCAATAACTGTTTACACATATTACAATACAACCGTCAAAAGGTTTTTACTTTTTCTCGGGTGCCACTGCCAAGCAGTTAGAGAAACTAGGAGATTTGATGCAGGTACTGATACAGATATCCTACCAGATGATACATCAGAACAAAAAAGGTTAGATGATCTTAGATGAAATTTTTTTTTTAATCATAATTTGCTTTCATTGAAAGTTATAAACAAATTTTGAGTTCAATACCATAATACATCAAATGATTAAATTTAGCTCACGTTAATAAAGTAAAACAGCATATAAGAATATACATACAACAAAATAAATATACTTACCAACATAACTACTCTTTTACCTTATTGTTTCTAACTTATTTCATAATGCAATCATTAAGATTTTATTTTGGATTAAATATTGATGATCTATTTCAATAGCTTTGCTAAATTACCTTCTTATACAGTTTAAAAATTATTTTAGTGTGTATTCACATGATATGGAAAAAATTAATCTTGTCAACATATTTATAATAAACTATATTTATCTAAAGCTTCAGATATAAAAATGACAATCTAGTTATTAGAAGAGAATGCTTAGTTGAAGTTTCAATGATTAAATTAAATCGCATTTATTTTTTTAATGAAACAAGAAAAACACTGTTTAATAGACCAGACAATACGGTAAAGCACAAGACACAAGATTTTTTTTTCTCTAAGTATTTAGAAAAATTGATCAAGATTTTATGTCCCACCACCTTATTAAAAAAAAAGTTGATAGCAAGTGACAGTAACATGTAAATTCATAAACCAGCTGTAAAAATAAGGAAGAATGTAATCATTATCCGACGTCGTTGCCCTCCTTCATTTTGCATACCTCTTGTAGTTCCTGATCTTCAGGTGACATCATCTCTTAAATATTTTATCAGAATCTTTATATATTAAGTTTGGGTTTATAAAAACGCAAGATAATGGGAACTCAAATTATACAAATAGTAAAAATTTGACATGAAATACCATCTAGTAAATACTCAGAAAAAAACTTTTCACCGAATCTGAATATCAAGTTTTATAATGGTTTTAGAAACTGCCAACTTGTCGGCAAAATAAACTTTGGCACATTTTGAGGCTGAACCATAGTGCAACAAATTTTGAAAAATTATCTGAAGAAACTTTGTTTAATTAAGTCGAAACGAACAGAATAAGCTAAAAATTGCAAATTTTTACTTTATAAGTTATTTATGCTAAGTAATAAGAAAATATTTGATATAAAACTTACTTTTGGGCAACAAATAATTCTTTTTTATTAACTGGCATGTGAGCATTCATTAGCTTTGAAAGTGAAGTGAAAACAATTTCAAAAGGAGAAGTGGTGGTTCGTTTGAGTTTGTTTATTGTCTGCTATTTTTCATCATGTATGCCTCGTTGCTTACAATTTTTTAAAATTTTCCCGAATTTATAGATAGTTACATTCAACAATCTTTGTTCATTTTAAAGGTTATTTATACATTATCCTTAATTTTTATTCTGCAATAACTATGTTGCATGGCTTAGTTGTATTTGAATTAATTCATTTTTCATTCTAAGTATAGTAAAAAATTTAGCAGTATCGAAAGTCGTGCAATCCAATATTTTTTAAACATTTATGCTAACTAGTCTACTGACCTTTTTTAAAAGTTGTAAAATTAATACATGTTTAAAAGTTGTGAAGCATATATTTATTGTGAAAAATAGTTTCTTCAAGTAAATGGAACGTTCGCTACGTTTTAGTGATCTCAGGGCAGAAAATAAAACATCCCAGAGGGGTGCAGACTCGTAGCACCCGCCGCAATATCAAAATTTTTTTTGGTGCCTTGGCAGTTAACCTGAACTGACATAAATACAGAAATATTGCTTTCACTTCTAATAAATCAAATGCTGCTATAACCTTTTTTAAATATATCTAATTCTGGAGAGCCTCTTGATCTTTTTGGGAAGATTTCTGTATCTTGATCTGTTGGGGGGAGATTTCTGTATCCTGATCTGAGGCAGAATAATAGCCAAGTCTTGGCAAATTCCGGTCNAAAAAAAAAAAAAAATCACAAAAAGGTATAACCTCATAGTCACCCTTAAGGGAACTTCTACACTTTAAAAAAAAAAAAAAATTCCTGTTTAAAATCAGTTTGGAGCCTTGTTGATTGTAGTTGGTGTGGCAGATCACAATACAGAAATATTGGGGAGATTTCCGTATCATGATCTGTGTCAGAATAATCACCAAATCTTGACACATTCTGTGCAGTTGCCCTTGCGAGTGTAAAAAGAAATAAAAAACCTCACAGAAAGGGACCAACTCGAAGGGTATAACTCGTAAACACCCCTGGGCAAACATCTGCATGTTTTTTTTTTTTTTTTTTTAAACTTGCAAGTTTAAAATCTATTTTGCCTCTTGGCAATTGTAGTTGGCGCGATAAATCATGATACGGAATTACCCCCAACATATCCTCATCTGTAGTGATAACTGCAATCGCCAAAAGCACCAAATTGATTTTAAACAGAGATAATTTTTTTTAGAAAAATATGTAAAGGTGTGCCTCGGGGGGGGGGGTTGCTATGAGCTATGTCCTTTTGGTTGGCTTACTTCTGCCGTTTTTTTTTTTAAAAGTTTCTGAAAAAGTCACTGCCAGAAAGTTACTAGTGATCACGAGATATTCCTTTTCTATGATGTTTAACTTTAGTTTATTATGAACTACTGTTTGAAAGTTGTCAAAATTTGACAATTATTATGGCTCTGGTACAAATACGGAAATCTTCCAAACCAAAAACATAAAATTTTTTAAAAATTTAATTTTACATATTAAACTAAATGTAACAAAGCACAAGTCGCTCATTATAAACTTAATCTAAACTATTCACTTTATATGGATATCAATAAGTTATTTATTTTTTTTATTGATTTACTATTTTAATACTATTTATCCCTTTTAGAAATATTACGATATTGGAATGAAAAGTAAAATAATTTTCAATGATAAAATGAAATCAAATTGAAATTGTGCAAGTGATGAAAGTATTTTATGAAATTATTTCAAAAGTTAAGAAAAGATAAGAATTTTTCAGAACTGAAGATATATTTGGCATGCTATTGGCCAAAGGATATTTTAAAGTTTAGTTAGTTAACATTCAAATGACTGAATGTGATCACCATAAATCTGAAACTGTTTATCAAAATGGTGATTACATTTTTCTGTATGATGATGCATTAAATAAATTTATTGTTTCTCTTACATCTTCTTGGCTATAGGTTTAAAAAATCAAAATTTCAATACTTAAGTATTTAATTGCTAAACACACCCAACTTATTGTATAATGCTATTTCTCTTTTTTTCTAAATTATCAGTTATGGTGGTTAATATTGTTTTGTTATTTCTAATTTATAGGCATATTGTGTGCATCATAATTTAAATATATTCTATGAATAACATTAATGTATATTTTTAGGGTTTTTGCTTACTCTCTGCTATGCTTAAAATAACAGAATGGTGAAAGAAAACTGTAAACTAGTTAGTGGTAATAAATATCACAAACTTTGTAAACCTAGTTTAAAGTGTAACTGACAAAATGAACAGTCTTCAGTCACAAAGTAAGTTAATAATATTTGAATAAATTATGTTGTTGAATTTCATTTAATACTCTCTTGAATTGGATTTTATTGTGGTACCAATTGTTTTGTATTGCTTTTGTTTGTAAGATGAAGTTGAATGATTATTTCTTTAATTAGATTTGCCCTAATAATTTGTTAACGATAAAAAAATCATTTTGAATTGATTCAAGATAGATGTTTATTCATTGAAAATGAAGAAAGATTTCCTAGCTTTTTCAGTGTGATAAGAAACAAAAAATTCTGTCAAAAATAAATCTGGTCTAATCTTTAAATATTATGTTTTTAAGTGCAATATAAACAAATTTCACAACTTCAAATGCTGAATTTTAAAGTAGTAAAAAGGTCTGGATGTTTTTAAAATAAAATAAGAATATTTATACTTTGTACAATTATTATAAAACTTCTCTAACCCACAAGTCTATAGCTTGATCTTGTGATAAATCAAGTGTTTATTAAAATCCCTGCTGAATACATATCTAACAATGTAACATTGGTAACAATGGATAAAGTTGGCAACTTCAGGGACCAAAAAAATTATATGTTAAGGCAGGGTTGAGTGTAAGACGGAAAAGAAAACTATTTAATTTTATTATTTCAAGGTTTGTATGCATCAGTAATATCAGAAAAATTGGGAATTGTCAGGGAATTATCAGAACAAAACATAATTTTACCTCAAAATTGGTTATTTTTAGGGGATATGACACCCTATCAAATTACGGGATTTCACTCGATTATTTTCGATACCATAATTTGCGCTTGCAGGTTACGGTATATATACATACAAAGCTAAAAATAATGAGATTTTTTCCCCAGACTGATCGTGATTAATTGCATACACTAGATTCTCCTATTATTATTCCTAGTGTGTCTGTAATGTTGTCAATTGAATGTCCGAGTTGAACTTGAAACTTCTGCTTTGAGAGTATCGACATGTTAGCTTTTTTTTAATATTTTTTTAGTCCACTTCTGCTCCTTAATTTGTGGTTATGCTATTATAAAAAATAATTGTTTTATTTAATTAATTATGTAAAATTTTTATTACAAAAAATTATTGCTTTATATTTTCAGATTATATATTAATTATTACAAAGAGAACATTTTTTTTATCTTCTGCTGTGTATATTTATTTGATACATATTAAGGAAACAATATTTTTTTAATTGAATAAATTCTGATTCCTGCAAATTTTGCTTGATGTGGGATCACATTTTTTTAAAATTAAAAATCATCTGCTTTTATTAAAAAATAAAAGCAGAAGATTTTTTATTAATATAAGAGTATATAATTATTTATTACTATAAGCAGAAAATTGTTTTATGAAGCAAAGTAGACTGCAGTTATCTCTTTTTACAAGTGATATATTTCTGATTCCGCAATTTTTATTATTTTTTATACATGTTCACAATAATTTCTGTGTTCCAAAATTTAGTTCCTTTCTTTATTTATGAATTTTAGGGTAAAGTTTTTTATTTTTTTTTATTTTATAAAGTTGATCTCATATCCATCATTGTCCTAAATTTTAATAATTTCCTCAGACCTTTTAACTATCTTTTTGTGTTTTTCGTTTAGTAATTTTTAAGTGTTTTTATTTTATTCGATTAATAAGTTTTTCTTGTGTTTTATCATTTTCTTTTTTTTTATAATTAAGTATGAAATTAATTGCTTTTTTTAATCATTAATTTTGTTTTATATTAGTTAATTTGGGGATTTAAATAAACCTCTCTTTTATATATATTTTTTTTTAGTTTTTAAATAGGTTTTATTTATTTTATTATAATTTGGCTTAACTTAAATATTTGCTAGTTTCTTTTTGTCTTGATTTGGTATTTATCATTAAAATAAGTTTTTTTAGTAATATTCTTGAAATAATTTCACAGTTTTGCAGTCTTAATGTATATTTGTCTATCTATTTAAATGTCTAATTTTTGATTAATTTTTTTAAAAAATCTTTTATTTTAGAAATCTTAACATATAGCATTTTTTGAGTTTTCTCTTCTTTTCATGAAAATTTTTGTCAGTTGATTAAATATGATTTAATATACACAGATTATTTGTATAATATTTTTATTGATTTACTTTTTTATTCTGTTTTTTATGATGATTTAGTTGTAGAAACGTTCTTTTATTTTATCAATAAATTTTTCATTCATTTTTTCGCATTCTTATTACAGCTTTGTTTCATATTTTAAAATAATTAATTTATTTTTTAACTAAGAATTAAAAATATTATGATATAATAAAATTAAAATTAAAATAAATAATAAAATTTAAATTGATATTTGGTGTTAAAAATATTTTTTCTCTTCATTATATTCTTTTTAATTTAGTATTGCTTAATTAAGTTTTAAAAATCTTATTGTTATTTATCTTTCTCATTATTACATTTTTTAAATCAATGCTAATATATTAGGTTTTAATTGTTTATTGAGTTTTTGTTTTAAAAATTTTCTTATGTTGATTAAATACGATTTAACTTATATTATACACCGATTATTTATATGTTTATTATTTTTTTTCTTCTTTGTACTTATAAATTTCATCTACAAGAATTTCTTCTACTAGAATACTAAATTTCTTTATTTATTTTTATTATTTATTATTCAATATTCCTTAGTAAATTCCCCTTGTCTTATTATTTTTTTGTGTGACTTTCTGACAATTTATCATTTCCAATCGGATTTGACATAATTTAAAGCACCTGATTTCATTTAAATAAAAATAGTTTATAAATGCATTCTTAGAAATAGTTTATAAATGCATTCTGATTTTTTTTATAATTCTAATTTACATTTTTGTTAATTATAAATTTTGTTTAATTTTTTCTTGAAATCCTGGAATTTTACCTGAATTTATTTACCTGGAACACCTGCAGAAGTTAGGGAAAAAACTTCTTATTTTTGAGTAGGAACCCTATTATTTGTCTTCAACGTTATTTTGACTCTTGTGATAAAAAAGATGATATAATAATTATAAAAAACATGAATATTTCTATTTTCTATTAGTTTCAATTTTGTGAACTTAATCATTTGTATTTTTGAATTTTCAATTCTGCTTCAAGTTATCAATGTTTCATTGTAACTTAAAAATAGAACTATTGTTATGTTAATTTTCATTTATATTACACATGTTGATTTCATATTTATCATTTTATGTGTTTAGTATTTCTTTATTCCAGATTCTAAAAGATTTTATTTTGTACCTGACTTTTCCTTGATTTTCTTTTTAATATTCTTGATTTTTGGCACAATGTTCTTTGATTAAAGAAAGAAAAGTTTTGTAATTGTACTTATATAATATTTATGAATTTTCATTTATGACTATGATAGATTCTAATTAAACAAAATTTTTTATATAGTTCATGATTTCATTGAGGAAGTGGAAAAAATTACCCATTTCTACAGGCAAAATTTAAAAGAAGAGAAAAGAAATATTGAAAACACTTCTAAAAGGGTTTCAGAGTTGGTTAACTCTATTAGCTTAAAGGTATAGCATAATATTTGATAATTTAATTTCAATATTCATGTTTAAATATAATATATTTTATTTTATATTGAATTTATTTGCATTGAATTTGTTTTGTATTGTATCTATTCTTTTTGCATTCTACAAACTTCTTATCTGTAATAAGTATATGTTACCAGACTTGAGAGAAATTTATGAAACAGTTTTTAAATTTTTTCATCACACTACACTTGCTGATCTAAAGAAACTGCTCCCTTCCAAAAATAAAAAAAAAGTAAAGTAAACTCAACCTACTATGTATTATCTCTATAATTCACATGGTTTTTTTAAAATGATATCTTTCTCATTTTGTGAAATTTATGTAAAGGATGCATAAATTTCCTTCTCTACTTTGGAAACTATAAATTTAAGTCTTGCCGATGAGCAGACCTAGTGCATTCTCCAGAGGTGGTATTCACTCTTTCAGGACCACCACAATGGGTGAGATACCGTTGGTCATGTTAATTTGGACGTCTAGTTTCTGCCACACTAGATGGCAGCACCGAGACTCTATTTGGATGCTAAAGTGCACTAGGAATTTAATTTTGCCGGAAATGCCANAGCTACAGATGGGTGGCTAACCCGATGGAAAGAACGCAACAACATTGTCTATCGTAAATTGCATGGTGAAAAGCAAGATGCTGATTTTAGCTCTGCCGCCGATTGGGTAAATGACGTGTGGCCAACACTCATCAAAGACTATAAACCAGAGCAAATTTTCAACACAGATGAAACAGGATTATTTTTCCGAGCACTTCTTGAACACACACTGCTGTTTAAAAATGAATCGACTGGTGGATGTAAAAAAATGAAGGAAAGATTAACCGTGCTGCTAACATGCAACATGACAGGAACTGTGAAAAAAAAATCCTTTAGTGATAGGAAAGAGTTTAAAACCTCGATGTTTTAAAGGAGTAAAACACCTGTCCACCAGTTATGCCAACAGCTATAACGCATGGATGACATCCAGCATCTTCACAAAATTTCTTCTTGAATGGGACAAGGAGCTGAAAAATGAAAAGGTTGTCTTACTTTTAGACAATTGTTCTGCGCACCCTGCTGATGAGGACTTGAGTTTCAAAAACATTAAATTAGTGTTTTTGCCACCCAACACTACAGCTATTATTCAACCCCTTGATCAGGGAATCATAAGGTCATTCAAGTTTCATTACAGAAAAATGGTTGTTCAAAAAATCATTAGTGACATAGACTGTGACAGCTCTTCGGAACTCTTAACTGCAAACAAACTATCGAAATCCCTTACGATTTTGGAATCAATGCATTTGATTCGTAACTCATGGGACATTGTTTCAACCCAAACAATATAAAATTGCTTTAAAAAGTGTGGATTAAGCACTGGTGATGGAGCTGATAACTGTTTCGAAGAAATGCTCAGCAATGAAGAAAATGATATGGACGAGAATATTTCATGTTACGTAGCTATTGACGATCACCTACAAACATCAGGAGAAAAATCTGATTCTGAAATTGTTACTGACATCAAAAATTGCAAAGTTATTTCCAATCAAGAAATGGAGGAATCAGACTCAGAAGATGAAATAAACTCATCAGTGCCATCTTCAACAGAAGTCAGAAAAGCACTTAATGTATTGCGGCAAGCTTTAGAACAAAGAGGAGGAAATATCGAAAACTATAAAAACTTCTATAAACTCTCAAATGATGTTGAAAAGTTAATTTTAAATAGTGCAACTCAAGCAACCATTGATCGGTTTTTTGCAAAAGTTTTGTAAATTTAATCTTATATAGGGTTTTAACTTTATTAAAATAATTTAATTAGTTGAATAAAGCATTAATGTTGTCATTATTTCAGCTTTTGAAGTGTGTGCATTTAGAATATATTTTAAAAATGTGATTTTTTTTTCCAAATGCTGAATCGCCTCTTAATAAAATCAAAAGAGCATAAAACGAAAGTGATTTTAATAAACGGCAGGCACTGTACTCAAAATTATATTTTCATTTACACAATAGATATTCTTTGAAATTGATATGATATGAAATCTCTTTGGTATGAGAATTGTTTTTTAATTAAATTACAATGTAATTAAAATACAAAATACTTTTATCTTAATTCATCGTACTTTACCTTAGCTATAATGTCATTATAACTTACCGATCAAATCTCTATCTTTTAGAAATATTCAGTAATTGTTTAAATTAGCTTAGTATTAGATTTCTTGTTTACTTTTGTCGATTTAGGGGATAATTGTCTTGATGGACTCTAATATTGTTGTCTCTCACTTCTATCGATTTAAAATTTTAAAAAATAAAACAACTAAAAATTCCTAATTCGCAATATGATGGATCAGTTAAGGCTAAGTAAGACAGACATTACTTTGATATTGGTTCATTTAGACTTCATGAAATGTACTGTATGTTTTATTAAAATAAAATTATTTCCAATCCTTACTAAAAAATTTATCTAAATAATCCTTTAAATGTTTTTTTTTCCCCCAATGAGCTGCACAATCAGTCTTGCCGATAAGCAGACCTAGTGCATTCTCCAGAGGTGGTATTCACTCTTTCAGGACCACCACAATGGGTGAGATACCGTTGGTCATGTTAATTTGGACGTCTAGTTTCTGCCACACTAGATGGCAGCACCGAGACTCTATTTGGATGCTAAAGTGCACTAGGAATTTAATTTTGCCGGAAATGCCA